TGTCAACTCTGTGTTTAATCCATCAAAGTGGTAAAAAAAAAAAAGTCCATACTTCAAATGACATGTGGTGACTTTCCTTTTTCAGTTTGCATTGTTTATACTAAAATAATTTCCTGCTTTTATTGCCTCAGTTTCCCAAATGACTCTTTAAGCAAATAAATTATAATCACATGTCTCATTCTTTTATGAATGAACTCCATAACCTCTTCTCATCTTGTCTGCCTTTTTTTTTTTTCTTTTTTTACTTTTGCTTAACAAGTGTCAATCATTAAAGCATGTGCAAACAATCTAACAGTTATGATCCAATGATGCTGACTTGCTGTATCCTGGTGAGGGTTTTGACCTGCTTTTCATACACAGATCTAGCTGCAGAGCAGCCAGAGTACCTCTTTCAGAATATTTGGCAGTCTTTAGTGTTCAGAGGCTGGTGAAAGGGCATGGGAAAGGCAGCATGCTTTAAGGGGGAAAAAAACCTGATAGATGCTCATTTCTTTTATTAACCTGTGGATGGAAAATAAATGCCTGTTTACAATCTTACCTAGAGCTACAAGTGTTTTACTGCAAGCAGTGTGAACAGAAGTAGCTTCCTTGAGCTGCACAAAGCCTTTCATAACAGCAGCTGCTACAAGTCAAGGGGTCCAGCTAGGTTTCTACCTAATTTTTGTCTAGGCTTACAAGGATCTCTGTGGCCTTTCCAGTTGTTGAGAGAAGAAGGATTGCTCTAAAATCAGTCAGGTTTGATAGGCCTAATGTATTCTGCAAGCAATATGTTTCTGGGCAGAACTTCCCCCATGTACAAGACTGATACAATCACATTGCTTTGGCTCACTGTACATGTGGAGCTGTCATTTATCAACATGATACCTCCTGCAGAGTTTCTGCAGTTGACCTGTGCACATCTGGCAACTCCAGCATGTCTTGGACCTGTTGGACTTTCTGCATACCTATAGGTTACCTGCACAGGAATCATTTTTAGAGGATGAATAGTTAGTTTCTCTTAGTTTGAGTTGGATGACAACCAGACTTAGGTGTTGTCTCAGTATTCATGATTTTGCTGTCAAGCCACTTCAGTGAATTTTAAAAAAGTCTTCCTCCTACTTATTTCCTCCTACAGCAGTTTCTTTTGGTTTATCAGGAGCTCATTTCAAAAAGACAGTCTTCCTGTGCTCCATAGTGAGGTTACTGTGATACAGATCTTTCCATCAAGTTTGTGCTCATGCTCCTCCTGGCTGGTGCCTTCAGGAAGATCTTTTCCTTGGGCGTGTGGATTGGATCTCTTTCCTGGCTTTTACCTGAAAAACTAAGGAAAAAAACACCCAACAAATCCAAGTAGAATTAAGCTAAATACCCTTAGAAAAATTACTTGTCTTGAAATGGAGTCTGCCTAGGTAACTTAGTTATTTATCTATCTTTTCTAGACAGACTAGGCTGCCAAAGGACTGGCTGCTGTTGTCCAAACCTTTTCCTGTTTGAAATCTATGCACCTCATTTCTGAAAGCTCTAAGGACTACACCTGCTGAAATTAATATTTTGGAGAATGCTTTCTGCTCCTCTGCCTTTGCAAGACGTAGTTGTTGTGATGGTTCGGACTTGGCTCCCTGCCAAATGCCCAACTCCCCAGTAGCAGCCCCTCTCTTCTCCCCTTTCTACTTTCCCCAGGGCAAAGGAAAAAAACTATGCAAATTGAAGAACCCAAAAACCAAGCTAGTTATATAAAAAATATATTTTATGTATATTACAGTTAAGATGCTATGTACACAGCAAACGGGAATCCAAACACCCCCTGAAGGGATAGGGAAAGGGGAAAAAGGGACAAAAGGAAACAAAAAGGGACACCGAATAGATATGCGCAATCAAACCCGAGAACTAGTGAAATAACTAGTAAAACAAATCTCACCACGTCCCTTAGAAAGCAGGATTGGCAGACACAGCCAGCACTCTCCAAGCTTCCATGTGGCAGGTCAGTGGATGCTGCAGGCCTCAGCCTTAGATAAGCGAGACCAATCTTATGGAATACTGGGAACACTGCCCCTTCCTTAGTTACAACCTGATCACTAAGGAAGGCCTGGATTAAAACCACCACAGTTGTTAATTTTGGGGTGTATGTGCCATTTGTATTGATATTACATACATCAAAACTGTCTTGGCAATGTCCTTTGCATTCCTCAGCATGGTGAGTTTCTTAGGATTGGAGGATAATTTCAGCATGCTGAGGTACAGAATGGTCTTTCTCCCCAAGTGCCTGTGGCTTCTTAAGTGCAGAGCCCCACTGCATCAGAGTTTTTCAGCTCCCTGTTCCCTGCAGCAGCACAGGTTATAGGATATCTCATTTGGCAGGTAGCTATAATTGTGTTATCCATAGCACCAGGGTGAAAAGCAGAGTCCTCAACTGTAGGTGGGACAGAACCATAATTGTTCTCCTTGGCCATAGGTGCTTCTTTGCTGTCCTGCCTTTGTCTGCCCGCTTTGTGTTGCCCGGGCTGGCCAGCTAAAGAGGGAAAGGACAGAAGTTGATGAGAACTCTTTGGACAAGTTGCACAGCCTGCCTCTTCTCTGTAGGGGTGAAGTTGCTTCAAATACTTGGTTAACAAGCTTGGCTCCCAGAAGTTGTTTTCCGTGCATAATAAAGTAGAAGTGTTCTTAAAACAGTTGCACTTGAGTTCCCCTGTGTTTGCTTCTCTGCTGTAAAGCAGAGAGCGCTGCTAGATGTGGGTGCACGTAGGGGACTGCGTAGGTTGTAAGTGGGTAGTCTTGGGTACATCTGCAGAACATCTTAAAAAAAAAAAAGGTTTATGTTCAGTGCAAGCAATTAGAGAAAAATCCTGACAGATTAGTGATTAAGAGATGAGAAACTGCCATTTATAGAGAAGGGATTAAAGAAAATGAAAGTGCATCAACTCTCCAGTTCCTGTGGCAAACACAAAAAATAAACAGTCTAATCCATCGTCAATATTCAGAGCAAGATAACACTGGACAAGCAGAAGAATAATCAGAAAACACCCAGGAAACACTTGAAACTAGGCTGCGTTTCCGAGCCAAAATGAATCTATGCCCAAGTGCAGCAGAAGTGGCCATTTGTGACTAAGCTAGGAACATCTTTAATAGGAAAAGCAGGGATTATAGCTGAATGAATGAAACACCCAAAGCTTGAAAGTGTGTTACGTATGTTTTGTAAAACAAAGAATTCTGACAGGAATCCAAACAAATCCACTCAAATGCTGTTGCTGACCTGTGAGGAAGTTGGCTATGAAGAGGCTTGCTACTTCCTTTAAGGCAAGCCAGGAGGGAGATTTGGGAGTTCTTAAAGATTTTTCCATCAGCTTGGAAAGTAAGTGGAAAAAGATATTGAAAATACTCCCTGTGTTTTGGAGTACTTAAAATAAACTTTGCTGTTTGAAGGTGAGGCAAACAAAATTACAGATGCTAACTTGGAGGAGAGTCATGTTTAAAGAAAAAGAACTAGGAAGCAGGAGGGAATTACCTGGCCTCACATTAAAAATAACTAGAACTAACAGAAGTAGAACAATGAGGTTTGCTAGTTTGTTCCCCATCTGAACAGGTGGTATGAAACACATTCACTGAGATTAAACTGAACTTGACAGTAAAACCATTAGAATCTAGAAGTCCAGAAGGAAGTACCTCTGATAGAAGTTCCTTGACTGGAAAACATCCCAGAAAGTCAGACTGCTGAAAAACAGGGTGGCTTCTGATTCTGGATGCCAGGACTGTCGCTATCATTCCTGAAACAGGGTGTCAGGGGATGCAGGTTAGATTCACAAGTGAACTCAGTTCTACCATGCTGAGGATTGTAACTTCAGAAAATTAGGTGCCTTTCTGGCTAATAAAGACATATATACAGACACCCTTTGAAACACCTGGTTGCACCCAGGACACCTGCAGGCCCACCAAGCACTGACTGTATTCATAGGCTAGTTTAAGTCGCAGCTGTTTTAGGGCCCCTGCCACAGAGGGACAGACCCCAATCACAGGAGGGGAGAGGGTGAGCACTGCTTGAGATGCATCCACACTTTCAACTTTTTCTATTCAGCAGTTTATGCACCTTCTCTACATCTTGTCAGTTCAGATGTTCAGTCCTAAACCTCCTAGTGGAAAATATCTAGGCTGTATCACAACTTGATAGCATAAAACAACGCTCAGTGCTTTGCAAGTCTTTTGCCACCAAAAAGTAATAGTAATAGCAAAAATACCTATGGCATATGTAAAAGAGAATAGTAGCTTTTTGCTACAGTTGCAAAAATTGGCTCCTGTCCCTGTTGCTGATTGGTATTTGCAGACAAGCAACAATTAAAAATACATGAAGCATAAATATTGGATATGGAAGAGATTTGAAACATTATTTTTCTTAAATAAAGGATTTCTTTATTTCAAGTCAAGAAAAGGATAACTGCATGGAGATTTATTAGCTATATCCAATTTTCATGTTTTTAAACTGGCAGTAGACTATTTAAATTAAATTTGGAAGGATGGGCAAACTGCAGTGTAACTTCTTCCCTCCTTACTGTGCCATTCACTTCCTTCCATCCCTGCTCCTTTATTTACTTTCTTTATTCTTTATTTTAAGGACTTGCTCCTGAGGCCAATAAATTGGTAAACAGCTTGAAAAAAATGCCAATGCTGCATGATGAGGCATATGCCCAGGAAACAATACTGGACAACTCCCATGAATTACCAGAGAACACACTGGTGCTCCCGTAAGTACAGTTTCCTTGGGGAGAGGGAGGGTTAGGAAGTATTGTGTCAATTTTCAGATAATTACACATCCAGACATTTAGCATGAAGAATCCATGATGAGATTAGCAAAAATGCTTATATTAGCTTAAAAGGAAAAAAATCTACCATGTCTGACATGATAGAAAATATGTGTTTTGGTATATTTGCAATGAAGTGCCTTAGAACTGCCTGAGAAGTAACTTTTAAGTTAGGCAACAATTAACCGTTCTGGGCAGCTTAGTCCTGCATTTTTTCCCTGTTTTTTCATACTAATTTGCTGCTGTACAAACGTACAAATATTCTACAGAAACTACATACATAAGAAAACTACATACAGCTCCATGTGAATTATCTTCAGCAAATGTCTGAAAAAGTAGCATGTAATTAATGCATCTGTGAGTAGGCCTCATGCTTTAATTCTGCAGTCCTTCTGTTTTTAAAAGCCCTAAAAGCTGATTGTTTTTCCCAAATTTATGCAACATTATGATAATAAGCAATGGGCTTATAATTAATCTGCATTTCTTCTTAACTGTTGGACAAAGATGAATAAGCTTATAGGTTTTATTTAGAGGGCAGTATGCTAATTTGAAATATTCCCCAGCTGTGATGAATGACTGTACCCCTGTAAACATGTTAACTTTGCACAAAGGGTGATTTTACACAGTCATTCAAAACTAAATGGGAGTATAGCTGATTTGCTATAAGAGTAAAAATAGATATTCATTAATCTTTAAAGAGAAAATCAGGATATTCAAAGAAAATGTAAGGTTTATTAATTTCTGTCTACTTAGTATTGAGGTCTCTATTGTAAAGCTTTTAAAAGTAACCACTTAAATGCAGATAGAAGGAAAAGTAGTAAAGGGAAAACTAATGGACTCCTGGTGCAGTAGTATTTATAGGAACATATAGTTTGTGTTAAATACAATGCTTACACTAAGAAAAATGGGGCTCTGTGTTGATTTTGTGCTTTAATAGCTTTTAAATCCTTTAAGGGATTATAAACAAAACAAAAGTCCCCTAATATACACATTTGAATCCTAAATATACTTCTCCTGGCACATCTTTTCCGTGAAGAACAGAAGAGCTTAAAACGATCATTCGCATCAAAAACCTGGGGTTTAGAAACCAATCTTGTCTTGTTTTTCTGGCACTGCAGAGTGCTGTTTCTGGACGTTAGTCATGGCAATTTGCCATTTTGTCTTTTGTGTTAGCCGAGTGATATTTTAACTAGATGGTTGAGAAATATTGTGAGTTCCTGAGGGGAGAAAATAGGAGTATTTTGTGAACTTTGTATATCTGTGTGTAACATCGATGTAAGAGCAATTATATGTTCTCTTTTTAGAGTGAGGCATCAAAAGTTGTAGACAAGTCTGGTTTCTCTGTTGATATGTTGTGTTTTATTTAGACAGTGCATTCTCAGGGGAGCTTTCTTTACAATCTTACTTCCAGTTTTACTCTTAGCATGTGTAACTGTGATATCCAGCAAGGCAGTTTTTCGTGTGAAGTCTAACTTCTTAGGTACAGTATGTCAGTTTAAACACATTGTTTAAATGCTCTCTCTGCTGTCTGTAACAATCTTACAGGTTTCAAAAGGGGAGTGGGTCTGCAGAATTTATTAGAAGTCTCAGGTGACTGGAAAAAGGGAAATATTGTACCCATCTTTAAAAAGGGTAGAAAGAAGGACCCTGGGAACAGCTGCCCTGTCAGCCTCACCTCTGTGCCTGGGTGAGAGATTAGAGAGAGATGGATTCAATAGGTGGACTGTTCAGTGGATGAGGAATTGATTGGATGGTTACATCCAGAGGGTAGTGGTCATGGTTTAGAGCCCCAGTGGACATCAGTGAGAAGTGGTGTCCCTCAGGGGTCCATATTGGAATCGGTGTCATTTAATATCTTTTTAATTTCACAGATGAAGGAATTGAATGCACCCTCCACAAGTTCGCAGGTGACACACCAAGCTGAGTGGTGCTGTTGGCACACCTGAAGGATGGGATGCCATCCAGAGGGACCTGGACAGGCTCATGAAGGGGGCTCATGGGAATCTCATGAGGTTTAACAAGACCAAGTGCAAGGTGGTGCACCCGGGTCCGGGCATCCCCCAGTATCAGCACAGACAGGGGATGAACAGATTGAGAGCACCTTTGCTGAGAAGGACCTGTGGGTCCTGGTGGGTGAGAGGTTGATGTGAGCCGACCATTTATGCTCACAGCCCAGAAAACGGATTGTATCCTTGGCTGAATCAAAAGCAGTGTGGGCAACAGGGCGAGGGAGTGGATTCTGCTCTTCTACTCCACTCTGGCCCCCTTGGAGCACTGCATCCAGCTCTGGGGTCCCCAGCACAGGAAGGACATTTAGCTGTTGGAGCAAGTCTAGAGGATGGACACTAAGATGATGAGAGGGATGGAGCAGCTCTGCTATGAGGAAAGGATGAGAGAATTGTATTTGTTTAGCTTGGAGAAGAGAATGCTTTGGGTGATGTAATTCTGGCCTTCCAGTACCAGAAGGGAGCCTACGAGAAAGATGGAGAGAGATGTTTTACAAGAGCATGCAGCATGTTGACTGCAGCATTCGGAAATAGAAACATATTCCAGCTCATCTTAGAATGGGTGAAAATATGGGATATTCTTTCATCTTTTAAGCTTCAGAAAGGTAGCAGAAAATATTAGTACTAGGGTTCTTTTATTAACCCAAATCTAAACTGCCAAATTGAATTTATACATAGTTGACTTTATTCTGAGAGGTTAGAAAGTTAATTGTGGCATTTTTTTGTGGGGTATAACACATGCTCTGTGTGCAACCCATTTGGATGCCAAATCAAAGGTCTTTGAAGAGTCAGGTTTCTTGAGACAGGGCAGGTGGAGGAATGGAGAGCTGTGGTCCTTGAAGGCAGGAGAGCAGACAGCATGCTTAGAGCTAAGAAAATCCACTGTGATTCCATAGGCACCATTGCCTTTGATAACTCAGCCCCAAATTTGGGATTGTGTATTTTTGTAAGATATTTGAGTATCTAAAAACTTCTTAATCCTTGGTCTCTCTCTGCTGGGCTACACACTGCGTGACATTTGAGACAGTTACATTCCTCAGCCCCACAGGTACTTTATCCCGTTGCCTGTCTGGTTTTGGTTTAGAGTGGAATTTTTTTCCCTTGCATAGTTACTAAGGCTTGTTTTTATTATACTTGGAGCAGTCATTTCCCAGCTGTCAAGGTTGCACTTGTTCAGTCGCCAGTAATGGATCGCCAGTGAGTTGTTTATGGTCCTGAGGTCTCTGTTTTCAGCCTATGGCAGTATTTTAAGATCTTTGGTGTTATGACATCCTTAAACTCCACGTAACAAGGTATAGCTGGCACCATAGACTAGACTTCCATTACAAGGTGACAATAGGTCTAATAGGCTGGGACTGGGCTTTTTCAAAGTTGGCCTATTACTAGCAAAGGCGGCAGTTCATTTGAAGAACCAAGAGAGCTTTATTCTGAAATCTGAGGTCAGAAAAAATTAATGGATCTTCTTGGAACCACGAAAGTGAATCTTAGTCATAAAGCGCTCAAGATACCCTTTGTGTCAGGAAAGAGTATCTATTATAGGATATCTATTTATATTTATCAAAGGATGACAAAGTTGTTGCACCTCTTCTGTTTTGTCCCCCCTGTAAACATTGGGAGCTTTACAGATTCCTCTCAACAGCTTATGAAGCATTTTTAGACCTTAAGGCTTTGTATTAACTTAGACATCAGTAACAAACTTAAACAGTGTAAGTCCCTGTTTGTCTTTACTGACTTTAGTTTTGACAGCTCCTCTCTGCCTCCAAGATTTTATTTATTATTAAATTAAATTTAGGTGTTTGTGCTTTAAACCACATCAAGCCACAAACTTCTAAACTTTGGAATTTAATTTCCAAATTTAAGACCTTTTTTTCACCTAGGTTTGGAGGATGGGAAGGTAAAGGCTAAAATCTGATGATTCAAAGAAAAAATAAAAAATGATGAGATGATAAGAATTCCAAGAATTCTAAGAATTTTTTTTTCCAATTCTCTTTTTTCACAGTGTCTCTAAGCAAAACAAAAGAATCTTTTACACAATCCTTGAGCTTTCACCATTGCTTGATTCTTCCAACATGACACCAGAAGACTGGGCCAAAATTGCAAAGAAACTTGAGGTACTGTGGTGTGGGATAAGAGTTCATTTGTCACTTAAACAAAGCCAGCAGTGTATCCAGTATGCTTAGAAAGATAATTCAGTAGTGTGATACGTATATATGTTTCTTTAAATATAAATGTTAAGTACTTTACTTAGTTACTTACAAAATAACAAGTACTGCACTTGCAAGGTTTGCTGAATTTTTTTTCTTTTGAAAATGTTGCAAATTCCTTAAAGTTATATAGTTCTTCCAATGATAAGCCATGCCATAATCCCATACAATAAAATAAGTAGAAAAATTGCAGCTATAATTGAATAAGATATGTAATATGTGGGTCGATGTGTTTTAAAATGTTGGCTCAAATTCACTGTCCAAAAATGTTGAATAAAATCCTTAAGTGTAGGTAAATTAATTGAAGGTTTCTTAGTTACACATCATTTGAATGTTCAAATAGTTTAATAGTTGGCTATTGACATAGAAAATAAATTCATATCTTCATGCCTTTCTTACACTGGATACATATGGACTTCAGTAGCTTTGACTTTGCAACTAGTAAAAAAAATGTTAGGTTTTTCCACAGTAAGACATGTTTAAAGCCCTATTTATTTCTTCATATATAGTTAAATTCATTACAACCTTCCCTGGGTTAATAAAAATCAGCATTTCTCTGCTCCTGTCCCCATGTCTGACCTTAGCCGTGTGCTTTTAAGAAAGCAGAAATGCAAAACACTTCAAATGCTTCACACCAGGAATTCATATGTAGCTGTTAGAAAAAAATAACTGTGGGACTAGGAAGATACTGCTCTTCCCCTCCTGCTCTCTCTGCGATATTGAGGCTTTATAGTGTAAATTCCCTTCTTCGACCACACAGTAGCAGAGCACGTGAACAGTTTAATAATGCAGGGAGTGATGCTGAAGATCCAGGTAACAGCCTTTCCCCTTTAGGCTCTCTCATCCTGAAACCACCAAGCTAGGGGAGGTTGCCTCCCCTATCAAATGCGTCTTGCCAGGGCAAAGAAGAGGTGGAGCTGGTGTGTAAATGGAAAACCTCTAGGATGGAGCAGGGGTGCAGCTGGGAAAAGCCCAGTTCCAAGAGAGGGAAGCAATCCCACACTGAACATGGGAGAATTTGCCTTTCTTCCTTACTGGCAGGGTTTTTTTTAAAAAAAAAAAAAAACTAAAAATGAATTGTGAGACTTAAACCAAACTATGTTCTTTTGCATGTAATAGGTTTTTAAGGCTGAAAACATTGGTCAGCATACTGATTCAGAGAGGACAAGTGGCTATTTCTGTGATCTTGGCCCTTCTTGAAACCTACTAACCTTGTTACTCTGTTGGGGAATATCTACACCATGCTTTTTGCATCAGGCTATAGTTTGGTGTACTGAAAGATCTTGCAGCGCTGGCAGTTGTTGTGTTGGCTCAGTTGTTAGAGATAAGCAGAAATCCCCTGAAACTTCCAGCAGGTAACAACAGGTACATACGAGTATCAGTGAAGGAATAGCAAAAGGACAAGTAGAAACGTACAGGTGAGTTTGGAGGTGACCTTATTATCAGGGCATGCCAAGTGTGTGTGCCTACTGTAACATAAGAAGCATAAATTTAAGAAAATCTTGTTTAATTCCATGGCAAACCTCCTTTTTTCCCCCCACACTGGCCCTTCATATATCTGCTTAAGGGTTCTATGAAGTCCTTTCCATGTTACCAAATTACAACAGGGACATCAGTCTCTCACTTCAGCATTTATTATGTGCATCACCCTTAAAACAGAGGAACCAATTTCTTTTTCTTCCAAAAGCCAGCAGATGACTTTATTCTAATAGGATGAGCTGTGTGATTCATGGCTTTGCATTTTAAAAAGTCCTGTGTGGAACTGTATGTAGATTAAAAATATTATAAAATTAGTTTTTACATCTGCACGTGCCTTATAGTCTAAAGGGACTTCTCAAAAACCGGCAAGTGAACGCCCATTAATGAACAAGAAACCTCTTCACTGCTTTCTGCTACGGAAAGGACGACTTTCCATCAGAAGAGGGCACTCTGACACTGGCAGTTTGCCTGTCTGCCACTCAGATTAAATGGACTGGGTTTTTTGTATGTTATGATAGCCCTGGTTTGCCTAATCTGTTCCTGTAAATGGTGTAATCCCTAAAGTAAAAGCGGCAACAAGAAATCAGACTATACGACTAATTTGCATATGTTAACATTCCTGTTTAAAGCCACTGCTAAGCTTTTCCTAATTAGCAGTCTTCTGGTTTAAAAATGCTGCATTAATATGTATACATGGAACAATCTCTTTGACTGTTCCATAATTAGAATTACTGGCTCTAGTGCTTAGTGACCTATTAACCCTTAATTTTATTTAAACTGGAAACAGGAAAACTTTAGGAGGAATTGTGTGTCCAGGACACTTCAATGTATTATGTGATGTTGCCTGCATCTGTGAAATTAATGCACTATGTACCTCACTTGCTGGTGCCAGTGCATTGCTCTAACAATGTGAAAACTGTCTCTCCATCTCCAGGAGCACTATGAAAAGTACGATGGTTTTGTGATCCTTCATGGTACTGATACTATGGCATATACAGCTTCAGCCTTATCCTTCATGTGTGAGAACCTGGGTAAAACTGTTGTTCTGACAGGATCTCAGGTAATGGAATTGATTTGAAGTTGAAGCAGGAAGCCTCTTTTTTTGTTTTTATATGCAAGACTTGGTTGTATCCTGATTATCACTGTATAGCTTAGTAGTGCAGGGCAGGCCCCTGGCCAGGGTGAATGCTCACAGTGCTCACAGAAATCAGTGAGAACTGACGGGCTCACCAGCTGAGGATCTGCCCCATAATTTTATCATTAATGACTTTACAACTCTGTACCAAATCAGACCTGTAGTTCATTATGGCTGGGGCCAGATGCTTCAGAGAAAGATATAAGAGCCTGTCATTGGCCATTGTGTATTAATCGGTTTATATAAGAAGCATCTCTCCAGCCTCAGGTGGCTGCTGGTTGTTAGCTGTCTTTTTTTCCTTTTAAAGCCCTGAAGCTTATTGTTTTCTACTTCATCAGTTGTTATCCTGATTTATGTTGCTCATTGTTGCATTTTTATAATTTTTTTCAATAAACTGTGTACATTAGATGCATTTTTGATCATCTCTATTCCAAAAGCATCTAATATGGCCTGTTTCCTTTCCTCTGAAGACTGCATTTATTAATTTTCATTCTGTTAGCTGGAGATCAGCCCTTTGCATATTGTCTGAGGGGGAGGGGTTGTCTTACTAGAATAGCTTGCTGGAGTGTAAAATACAGCTCTAATCACAAAGGAGAGATGAAACATCGTACCGTAAAATTCCCCTCCCCAGTCTCATAACTTCCCTTTCACATGTGGTCTATTTGAAGTCAAAATACAAAAGTCTAGGAAGGAGTAGGCTCCCACTTACTTTCTTGACGTGGGGCAGTCTAGTCGTGATACATCACAGTCAAGGTTTTGCTTTCTTTTTGGCTGTATTTCTTGGAGATCTGCCTGACATATGATCCAGCAAGGGAGCATGTGATTCCTTTTTTTCATTGCTGAAAGGAGCTCTGACTCTCACTTAATAAAGAGGCAATCTGAAAAGGCATGGAAGTCGTCACTCAGCAGACCAAATTTCTGTTTTTAATCTTGCCCTTTTCTGTCAGTAATAACCTGCTGGCTCAGTTTTTCTATACTGTGAGGAAAGATGGTGCAAGAGAGCTGTTGTGAAGCCCACAGTGACAGATCTGCATGATCTGGGGCTGTTGCTTTTTCTCTGTATCATCACTTCTCCCATGCTCAGTCACTTTAACTATGACTTCTTTCTAACTTTTATGTTTTTCCTGAACCAGTCTTAATATGCTTAATCACACCAGAATCATCTCCATATCGGTTTTTAAGCCCTTAAATGATAAAAGTCTGTTAAGCACAGGGAGAAATCTTGCCATCTGTTGCAGTCTAAAATAGTTTAGAAGAAGGAAACTTTTTTGTCGTAAATCATCGTTACATAAATTATTCATGTATTTGTATTGCATAAGTTGGACTCATTTTTTCTGCTGTGTAGGCTTTACATAAGGGCCAGGGTGTAATTTCAGTCTCTGCTCTTCAGGTGCCCATATACGAGTTGCAGAATGACGGCCGAGACAACCTTCTGGGGGCATTGCTGATGGCTGGGCAATTTGTGATTCCTGAGGTCTGTTTGCCTGGGAAGACCATCTCAGCAGCTTCATTTCTCCCTCTAGCCAGGACACATATACACAAAATATCTGGTAGGCAGTAAGGACTTGCACTTAAACAGGAAGATGAATGGATTCCACTGAGGTAACAGGTGCTGGTTTTGCATTGGTCATATCCCATTTGGTCATCTACAATCTATAAAGCCTATCAAGTCTGAAACATACATTGCAACAGACTTGAAATGGGAAGTTCTCTTGCACGTATGTGGGGTCTGAAACACTTTCAGTTTTTTAACTGAATGTTACTTTGAAATTCTGTAGTTGCTCTAGAACTGATATGAATGTCTGTCACCTCTAGTTCCTGAAGACTGAAGTGTCGAGAGCGCTACTGCTAATGGACATGAAAGTACTTCCATAGTCTCAGCACCCTGCCTTTAAAGATTTTTATGCTGTGCAGCCCAAAAATCAGAGAGAAAAAGGGTCAGGTTACACCTCATTTCACTTCTGCCATGCTCCCCAAGCCAGTTCTCGTAAGACAACAACAATAGCTGACTGGCCCAGATCTTAATAACTGATAACAGCTTTGAGGTATCTCTTCCTTCATGTTCTAATTGACAAACTTTAGGAGCTTTGAGGTGGAACGTAATTATTTATGTGTGGTAACTCTTTTGAAAGTTATCCTCATTTTCACTAGGCCTTTTGTTATGTTTTGGACTCTGAATTTATACGTAACTGATGAATATATTAAAAAGTCCACTGTTTCTTTCCTCTATCTCTGAAATGGACTCAGGCAAATTTTCTGTCTCCTAGACTATGTCTCATGAGAGGGTTATGAAACTAGTTAGCTCTTAACTTGTTTTGTTCTTAAATTCTTAAACCAATGTGTGACAGATGTGCCAACTCTTTTTGAAAGGGTTAGACTTGTAAACATCTACTAGCCTCTGAGTTGCTTTAAACATTTAGAAAACACTTTATAAAGGACGGACTACAGTATTTATCTACAGCATCTTTTAATTACTGGCTTATTCATAGACCTGTTTCTTTACTTGTCTTGCAGGTGTGCCTGTATTTTTATAATAAACTGTACAGGGGAAATAGGGTGACTAAGGTGGATGCTGGGAGTTTCAATGCCTTTTCCTCACCGAACCTGCCTCCACTTGCAAATGCTGAGGTTGATATTACAAGTAAGCAACATCATCTCTTAAGCCGTGTAATTTATGCCACATGCAATAGAACTAAAAAGCTGAAAAGGATCTGTACCTAGTTGAAATGTTGTTTTTAATCTCAAAAAAATCTTTGAAAGCTCTGTAGCTTGACTCCATCTGCTCTGAACCTGTTGAAGTATTAGTACGACTGAGATTTTGCGACTCAACTGCATTTATCTATTGAATATAGATGTGAGCTAGACTGACTTTGACTGAAGATCCAGACTAACCAGAGGGAATGTTGCCCCTGTGTCATGAAAATGCTTGGTCTAAAGATAAAAATGAGGGAATGAGGACTGAAAGAACAAAGAGTTTAATCTCATTAACGACCATGCCCGGCTCTGAAGTCGAGCAAAGAAGTCATTGCAGAGTACTTGCAGCTTCAACAGATTCTCTGTTTGATGCATGTCAACGTGTAAGATGTTTTACTGGATATTTAGGACCTGTCTGAACTGCAAGCACACTGAAAACAGCAGACTTAAAATATGCATTGTATGAAGTTTTTTCCCCAAAACTTTCTCAGGCTCCCTGTAATTTCTGTGTGTCAGTTTCTTAAGGAAGGGAAAAACTACGTGAAGGTTTCAGTATCCATTTACAAAGTCATTAGCACAATGATGTCTGCTCTTGGATAAATGGCACCCTTTCTTTGGAGAGGGGAGAAGAGAGACGCATTTGGAATCTAGCCAAATGAGGAACTGCCAAAAAATATGCTAAAGGACAGTTTTGAAAAAATATAACATGATATTGGGTAGACTAGGTATTAAATAGGAGAAGGACTTGATCGAAATCTCCATTATTACAAAAAAATGGGAACAGAAGGGTGTTCCTCAATTCTTTTGCTAAGGTGCCGTTAGTAGCAGTAGGAGCTCTAGCCCTGTGCCATGCAACGTGCCCTTATGATGGTTTCTACTACTAGAGAAAGACATTCTGCAATTTGGAAAAATAAACTTATCCCTTCCACTTAAAGAGTGGGAATTACTTAACAAAGTTTCAGGATCAGAGTGCTGTGATTGTAGCAGCCAGATACGAACTGAGGAAGCCTGTGTAGTACTGTAGTTGCCTGTAAGACATCTCTCAGGTAGAGAGTCTGCCACTGTTGTGTTACTGTGCTGTGACAAAGAGGATGTGTCTGAAATCAACAGAAATGCTGTCAGTTGATTGCTGCAGTAAATTGGGGGAATCTTATTTCTTGAGTCTTTATGAACTGCCTCAAATAAGGTATAAATAAATTCTTTTTACTGGCTGATCAATAATGAAATCAAGCTGCAAATTGTGTGCTATTTCTCTCTTGGATTTGAATGAGCTGTTTTGTGATTCCTTGTCCAGAGTAGAAAAATGAGAAAGTTATTAAGCACTTCCCTTGGCCCATATTGGCTCCCATTATGTCTTCAGTAAATGCCTCATTGGTATCAGTGGGGATTTCTGTTTTAAAAACTGATGGTGTGATAGGCTCTATTTTTATTTGCTTCAGTTGATTACCCAGTTAGAGTAACATCATTTATCCAAGATGACGGTGTCACTATTGAAGGATTGTTCCATTTTGAAAGAACATAGTTTATAGTATGGGCACTCTACTAGTGCTGCTTTATTTTGTCCGAAGTAATAGTTTGAAACATCACTGTCTGTCTTGAGTTTGCTTGTACAGTCCTCATATGAAGCTTTCGTGGAGACAAGAAACCACTTGGGCTTTTAAAAACAAATCTAACAACAAATCTGAAAACAAATCAAACAAATCTAACATCTTTCTACTTTTTTTTTCTTCTCCAAATGACTTTATGTAATATGTCTTAATCCTCCTGGAGACAGGGCTGACTCTTGCTGATGAAGCATTACGGAGAGCAGCCTGAGGATGTCAGGAGGAGTAGGCCACGTGAAGAAACTCTTCCTCAGGCTTCCCAGTTCTAACAAAGCTGGGAATGAAAGAGAAGCAGAAGGGGAGAAGTGGCAGGATGGAGGAAGTGGGAACCGTAATGGGATCATGGGTTGGTACACAGGAATGAGGAGAAGACATGCTGTTTGTGGGTAGGCATAGCATATAAAAGCAACAATCTACTTCAGAGATCGAGTTGAGAGGTTGAAGCTTAGTCCTCTTCCCTCCCTTACCCTTGCAGCTCTCTTCTTCATTTTTGATACCCATTTTTCACCCCGTTCCTTCTTTAGGTGAGGCTCCTAGTGGATTTCTAATCCCTTAACTGGCTGCGTTCTTGGCTGTATCCTTAGCTATGTTAGCAACACCTGAGAGTCCCATTACCCAGCTTTAGACAAGTAAGTGTGTCAGCTTCCTCAAGACTTTCAACTTAGCAGAGGAAACTCCTGTAAGACGTGAAAAAGTCTAGCCCTCTCCTGAGCTTAGTAAGAAACCCAGTGCTGATGGGAAACACTTTCGTGGCAGAATTGGAAATCACAGAATCACGGAAACATTTCAATTGTGGTACATATAGAAATAACCAAAAATATTCCTAAAATCTCAAAGCCTATCAAATAAAAAATCCTTGCCTTATTTCTCCCATATTTTGAAAATAGGAGAGAAAAGGACTATTCCTATACTTTAAAAACAGGAGAGACAAGGACTATTCCTATACTTCAAAAACATGAGAGACAAGGAGAACTCTTTCACTTGAAATGTGTAACGATTCTCAGTATATTTCATAACTGATTGCTCTCCTCTATTCTTGACTGTCCTAATGAAGCACACATGAAACTTGCTTTGTTAATGTGACTGGACTTTCTTCATAACAGATGCATGTAACTTCTGGGAGTGGTGCACATGTACAGGACAATATGATGAGAAACAACTTGTGCAGGGGACAAGCAGCCTGTGTGACTGTGTGTGCAGATGTGGTACAGCAGCAGAAGGTTAGAGGGCCCTTTTGGGCTCATCTACCCACCAGTCTCATTAGAGAAAAACTGTTAGTTACTGGCCAAGTCTGCATCTTGGTTGGCACTTCTGGTTATTTATATTAAAAGCCCAGGTCATTTGTGTATTATGGCAAATGCCAGCTCTCTTCACTGGAGTGCCTTCAGTCCCCGTCCCCGCTCCGTTCTAAGTGGGTATATTGATTCTTGCAACGACCATAGATGTGTGTCGATTTTTTGATTTTTTTTTTTTTTTAACAAACTGCCAAAAAAGGGGGTCTGTGCTAGCTTGCCTCCTCCTTCAGGGACTTGTAGCCATAGGTTGGCCTGTGCTCCAAACCCCTCGGCTGCGCCATGAATTGTAATGAGTGCTGGGGCAGCTTATATAATGGTAGGGCTCACCTGTAGCCCTGCAGAGAAGGATGAGAAGAAAGTGCTGCTGTTTGTCTGGAGCTCTGCAATCAAGAAAAGCTGTATTTCTTGTTTGATTTCATAACTCGGAATTCAGTCACCACTCCTAAGGGAGGTGTCGCTCTGAGTTGCTGCTCTCCCATTATAAGCTGAAACCTGCATTGTGGCATAGGCACCCTTTGACAGGTGGGGGGGTTTGCTGCTTTCTGATCCATGCAGAGCTGCTTCTCTTTTTTATTTTATTTATAAGTCACATTGATGTTTTTTCTGCACTAATCCTCTCACCATATTTCTCTGTGTGTGTGTATGATAATAAACCTGCATAAGATAAGGATGTGTTTTTTTGACTGTAATTTTAAAGGCTATAGTGTTTGGTAGGTAGAGGGAGACTGGAAAATCAGACTATTGTTTATGTGATGGTTTGGAAGAGTAAACAAAAGGCTTTAACATCTTGAATGCAGTCTCCTTGAATAATGCAATCTATCCCAAACCATTTTGGATAGAGTATATAAATAACCATTACATCTTTATTTTATGTACATTGCTTTAAAAAACTTACTTTCTGCTGTGCCACACCAGTAGCTAGCTTACCTTTGCTCCTCAGCTTTGCATCTGTATTTACATAATGCAGTACATTGGATCAGTTAAACTCTTTACAAGCAGAGGCTGTCCAAGTCAGAACAGGTTACTGTTTTCTGTGCTATGCTGAGTATCCCTAATTAGTCACTCATCCATAGGAAAAAAACTGCTACAAACACCAATAGAGACAGCTTTTTGTACTTCACTTACTTGTATATGAGTTTCCTACTTAAGGGTTTTTAAGGATTCTTACTTTTTTTTTTTTAAATTTAACCAAGAAAAGGAGATTGCTGTGTGGTATGACTATAGGCTGCAAGACAGCTGGTTTATTCAGTACAATGAAGATGCTTGAACTTAGCTATGTGACATAAATACTGTTCCTTTTAGGGGATGCAGTTTTTGAGATTCAGGATGCAAAGGGCATGTTCTAATTTTTTTTCCCCTGCATGGTGCTCTGCCTCACTTATTCAACAGAGTTAAATAAATCTCAGGTGAAGTTGGGCTTTTATGTATATTTGTTTGTCTTTGGCACTTGCATCACATTTGCCTTTTCTTCTGCCTTTTAGACTTGTTTGGCTAATGGAAAACTGACATCTGAGGAGTCTGCAGCACCAAACACGTTATGTAGGGTGACAAGGTTCATGCCCAAGTGAATGTTAACTCAGAGGCAATCTTTATTTTTTTTTTTTTAAGTACAATTTGGAATTACATCACTATACTATGTCTGCATGCATTAAATTTATCTTGGAGATGATATATTATTTGGTAGAGTGTACTCCAAGAGTACAGGTATAGGCCTGGTATAGGTCTGACTTCTGAACCTATCCTCTGATCTCTTTCCTTGGTCTTCTGCTTTTGGCAGTATCTTAGTGATCCATGCCAAGGCAGGTTTACTCAGTTCATTCTTCAAGTTCATTACAGGCATTAGGGATGCTGACAGTTGCCAAACATAGTAGTATGCGTTTGTGAAGTTTTGGCAGGGACTCCTACCTTATGGAGGATAAAAGAAAGCAAGCTGTGATACAATTTTATTGCTATCCCTTCTTGTAGAAGAGGCTGCTTTTAAAGAATTAACTTGTGTGTTAGAAAGTTGAGAGGAGTAGATTTATTGCATGATGCTGCTGCCTCTTAACATCATTAACCAGGCCTATGAAGCTCATGCACCACAAACGCATGGCTTCTGCACTTACCCATATACCTCCTGAAAGTCTCTAACTTGCTCTGGAAAGCTCATGGAAGCCCCTGAGAGCTATCTGGATAAATATTAAGTCCAGCCAGATAGTTTCAGAATTATGGTGGACAGCCTAGCACAAAGAAAGAAACTGTAGAAGTGGTCTGTATTTCAATTCTCCCAATCCCAGGGCATTAGGAATCCATGTGCTGCAGTGTGACAAACATTCAGTGTGCTGGTTGGACAAACATGATGCCAGGCCAACTGCTTGTGACCTGTTTAATGACGTATGGCAGTTTTTAGAAAGAACAAGCAGAGGCTTTAGTTGCTGACAGGGCACCACGACAGGAAAGGGAAGTTCATAAAATCTTATAGAAGACTGCTATTTTCTGTCCTGACTTAATGGATTGTGTAGTTTTTAGTATCTCTGGTAAGAGGGCAAGAGAGTAGGCTTCAATGGAGGCTTTTAAATGTACTCTGATTTTTTTTTTTTTTTTTTTTTTTTTTTTTTTTTTTTTTTTTTTTTTTTTTTTTTTTTTTTTTTTTTTTTTTTTTTTTTTTTTTTTTTTTTTTTTTTTTTTTTTTTTTTTTTTTTTTTTTTTTTTTTGCAAGTGGCTGTCTGGTGATTGCAAGTAATTGGTGTGAGTAACTCTCTGCATGGCTGAGAGCAAGTCAGTATTATGCACGCAGATCTTTTATCTGTCTTGCTGCTTGGGAGTTTCTCCAAAATCTAAAAAGCTTAACTCACGATGGGGAAACAGCAGCTTTACAGCGTGGTCTGTTTTCATTGAAGCACAACGCTCTGAGCTGTTGGCTGCTGTTTGTTAAACCTCTTCCACTGCCTTGTAGGAGCCGTCAGCGCTACAAATGCTGTGCTCCTGCACTGAAGCAGTGAAATTTTGAAATCAATAATGCATGACTTGGCTTCTAATAATGCAACACAAACAAACTATTAGTTAAACAGCTGGCTTCTGGCTCCAAATGTATAATCGGAGTTAATTGAATCCTTGCTATTTTATTTAATCGTTAGTAACTACCTAATAAACTCTGGAGGTGATTAGCAGCAACAGTAACTGCATTTGTCATCTCTCATGTCTGAGAAGATGAAGCTCTGTTTTCTGACCATGAATCCAGGCTGGTATCAGGCCAACTACATAACAACGGAACTCAGGTCAGTGTATGACAAGTGAATGTCTCACCTGGGCTAGAACTTGCATGATGTTCTGTTGGTTGAGGCTTTCTGAGCACTCTGAACTGGGAGAGGTGGCACTAACAGGACATGCTCAGCATCAAGAAGACATCAGGTTTAGTGCTCATATGCTTTTCATATGAGCAGTCAGACTTCTCTTTTGAAGAGACTGTAGTAGAGGTATACAGCTTTGTGTCTGATAGATCATCTT